ATATTGCCCTTGTTCATGATGACATCATATCAAAACATTGCCACTGTTTTTGAGCATATTTGTTTTCTGATGAAACTGTGACATCATAAAGAAATAGCGCAATTTCATTACAAGATTAATAGTTTGAATCGCTAAAATCTTTTTCGTCATTACTAGCTGCTGGAAGTGTATCCTGTACTTTCCGTCATTTTGAAGATATTTCAGTGTATCGTCCTTTCTCTGCTAGAAACATGCAGTATTGTTGGGAAAACATGAGAAAGGAATGAAAGCAAGTGACTTGAAACGTTTTCAAAGTGTTCTCCCAAGTCACAAGTGTTTTTAACAGAGAATGGAGTCACAGAAAATATCTTATGATAATTAACTTAATAAAATAATTACAACTAATTGCTTGAAAGTCGCGTATTTTAGTCTTCTCGCAGCTGTTCCTAGTTGGGGGCTCCCTGTTCCCCGTCCCGGGACAGGGAGCCTGCCACCAAGAACAGCTGCAAAGGAGACTAGGTGTTTTTATGCTTATTATAGAAACACATTTTTTCAACAAATCAATAGCCGATTTGCGAATTACGCATCAATAGTCACATACAAAGGAATCAAGACGAGGCGCCGTGCTAAAGACAATAGATTTTTCACAAAAAAGCATGGCGCCTCGTCTTGATTCCTTTGTATGTGACTATTGATGCGCAACTCGCAAGCCGGCTATTATCCAATGTGTGTGTTATTTATTAGTTATTTTATTTGTGTGTTTTCATTCGTATTACTGTATAATTATGATTATTCTAAAAATCGTGATTTCCCTTTAGCACTTCTACTGGGTCAATGGAAAATAAATGCAACCAAAACTGTGGCTGTAAAATTAGTCAGTATACACCGCTTTGTAACTCTGCTGACCAAATAACCTACTACTCACCATGCTATGCRGGATGCTCACAACAAAATATTGGTCCTGGAAAAAATGTAAGGTTAAAGTATTTTCATTTGTTTTTCATTAMAAAAATGCTTGAATGTATACAGTTAAAACTTGCTTTAACAAAAACTAATTTTGTCTAAGTAATGGTGCTATGGTTCCTAAAATAAATGATTGGATAAGAGCTTTTATTACAAAAGAAACTTTGTTTCAAATGAGAGTTTAACCACATATTTTTATTTCAAAAATGTGTTACTCACAGATGGATACATAATCAGTGTGAAAACCATGACATTCGTATGTGGGGAAGTTGCAATGCCGCAGAACAATAGAGAGTTCCCTAGTTCTTTAGTGCATTGTTACTTAAGCTGTTATTGGTGTACTGTATTTGCTAGATGTCGACATGAAGTATCAAATTCTTTCTTATCTTTMAATGTTTCTTATTTCAGGAGTTCAGTAATTGCAGCTGTTTTTCAATTCCCTACAGTCGGGCACTCAAAGGCAGTGGTTGTGCCCCTGAATGCAATAATCTCATTCCTTACATGTTTGGTGTTTTCTGTTTAATGGTCATGACTTTCTTAAACAACATCCCTGCAATGACAGCTACATTGAGGTGAGACATTGGCAAAATCTTGAAAAAATTGAAAATTGAGTGCAACTGTATAATCCAGGAATTGAAATGGAAGTGTACAGATCATGACAAAAGACCCGGCAGTTAAAATAGGGCTCACTTTGAAACTGTTTTCTTGTCATCTTTTTATGATTTGACTGGTTTGTTTGATCAGGCCTGCTCAGGTGATTTCATTTGGGCCATTGATTGATATATTTTCTATTGATATGTAATACTTTGATTTAGTTTTTGATTGATTGATTGGTTCATTGATTGCTTAGTTGGTAAATTGATTGATTGACTGATTATTTCATTGATAAACTGATTG